GAAGCCAGTTTTGGAAAGATAGTTGAAGACTCGTCACACAGGCCATTTTTCCTCTCTACCCAGAGAGTCTATTTTTTCTCTCTACTAAGCTGAAAAGAATGTTCTTTTAGTTTTAATTCTATGGTTTTCTAGTCTCAATGCTGTTGTAGAACAAAGCCATACTGTTCCTTCTGAGAATTATCAGCAATGAAGTCCTCAGTGTGAATGGTCCCATTCGTCTATTGTTGCCCTACACTAATAAAAGTTGAACGATATTTGTCATTCTTTTTCTTTCATTGGTGGGATAGAAACAATTATTCATTTTTATCCTCTAGCGATCCACTTTGGAAAACAGTTTCCATCTTTTTTCTCATTCAAAAATGTTCTTGTCATCTATACACTAGGCATATTCCATGAAGATGTGTTTATCTCTGAAATCATTTTTATTCTACTAGAGATGACTGATGATCTATTTTTTTTTCTTTTGTTTGTAGTAATCCATGATATATTAGTATAATTGCTAATAGTATGGGGTACTACTGATAACTTTTAGGAACATTCCAAAAATCCACTTTGGTGGGTACAGAATGCAGTGTGGTTTTGTTTTTGCAGTAAAAAATGCTAGTACATGGATTCTGTATTAATGTGGCTGGGTTTGTTAATTTTACCTGGAACATTGGGAGGAATGTATGTGCCCATTTATACCTGAAATGGACTGTGGCTCCATGTTCTGATCCTGCTCCAAATGAAGTCAACTCTTTTTAAAAAAAATAAGTACTACATTGTTGTACAGCAGTTTCCCCAACCATTATGGTATCATTAACATACTGATGTTAATGCTGGTTTGGAACTATTATGATTTTTTTTTAATGAGAGAATGGTAAAAGCATCCATTGAATTACTATAAATGGAATCAGACTCCGTCCCAAGCTTCTGAGGGAGGACTGCCCCATTTTCTAAACCGATTTCCTGTGACTGACAGATACAGTCTGATAAAGATTGGAAAATCAGTTACAATGGCAAATTTTATCCACAGTTTCTGTTATTGTTGAGAGGCTCTTTGTCTTTTAAACTGAACTGTAGCCTTACTGAGGGATTATGTACATTCTTATTCGTAGTCCAAAGAGTAGGGAATATATAAGGTCCTGACCATTAAAAATATTATGCATATGAAACATACACATTTCACAGAAACAATATACGTAAACTAGAACACACTTTCTACATTTAACTCAGAAATAAAATCTCGTCTATGCTAGTCTATATAACAATATCCTTGATCTTATGCCAGAATGCTGCCTAATTGATTTTTCAAGGTGTGCTTTCCAGCTTCCCTTGCTGTACTGAGGACAGGAATCATGCTCTAAATGCCTGATTCTGCCATCCTTTCACTTTTTGGTATCTTAGTCCACAAGGAGTTCCATTTATTTCAGTAGAATTATTTGTGAAGAGTATGATTAGAAGACTCCATGTGAATAAGGGTGGCAGAATTGGTTGCTGAGTGAGTTTGCTTTCTCAGATGGTGAATTGAAATTGGTGCTGATAGTCTATACATAGTTTTGGGTAAGGGAGCTGGGTGAGATCTTCACTGCACTGAACTCTCAGCCTGAGGTGTTGGAGGGCTAACATAGTTTTAAGATACCTCTGCATCCTCTTGAGTCTGGACTGGTCCAGGGACTAGAATGGGCCACAATGTAACTTAAGCAGCCCTATAGTAAACTGTCAATGACTGCCTCTGAGCAGCAGTGCAGCCCAGAATTAATGCAACACTAAGAACTGGGACTCCACTGACATGTCCCTCTCAATCCAGCCTCACTACTGTGGCATATCCCCTACACCAGAATTTGCAAAGAGGTCCTCACAAGCCAGCGTGTATCTTCTTCAATCCCTGCACCAGGGGAATTCTACCTCAGCCTCTTTACAGTACTATGACCCCAGGGCCACAACATGTGAGGATTAAAGAGGAGATGAAAATCCTCCCATATCTATATTTCCCAAATTTGTGAAAATTCAGATCCAGATCAGATTTTTGCTGCTGGTTGCAACCCTATAATGAAAGGAAGAATCACCAGAATTAGAACATCCTGGAAGTACAAAGAACTTTGGATCTGGATACAAACTGGGTGGTTCAATCTCTTTTCTGTTATATTCCTTTTAATATTTTGCTACCATGACCAGGAAAATTAGGCTGGTTATGATAATTTTGGAGACAACATAAGGGAACTCAATTAAATAAAAATCAAAAAGATGGAGTAGAGGAAATCAATACATTGATGTCCTCTGCTGAGTAAGAAGTGAGGCAGATGTTATTTTTATGAATAAAATGTCATCTCATTGTAATAGAGTAGTTTGCTCCTTTAAAGGCTAGAGCCTGGGGTAGGCCAACCATAGTAGCTAAATAGGCACACCTGAGCAAGGATGAGGGCATTCTCCTATAAAGAGAAGCAGGAAGCTATAAAATTAAATTAATGGAGATATCCTATCTCCTGGAGCTGGAAGGGACCTTGAAAGGTCATTGAGTCCAGCCCCCTGCCTTCACTAGCAGGACCAAGTACTGATTTTGCCCTAGATCCCTAAGTGGCCCCCTCAAGGATTGAACTCACAACCCTGTGTTTAGTAGGCCAATGCTCAAACCACTGAGCTATCCCTCCCCCTCAAGCCATGGATAGGATTGGGGGAGAAGAGCTCAGCACAGCACAGAGACTCCTGGGAGCAAGTAGTCTCCAGCAGAGAAAGAAACCTGAAACTTGGGGAGTGAGACTACAGACAGGAAAGTCTGTGGAGTGGCCTGATAACACTCTGATAAGGAGCTAAATGGATGGGCTTGAGGAGGAAACTGAGAACTTTTATTTTGAATGTTTGTTAATTTAATAAACTGGAACCTAAGAAGGGCTGCAAATGGAAACAAGTGTGTGTGAGTTACTGAAGAACCCCCTTGAAAGGGGAAACTGAGCAGCGGGTCACTTGCAGGGCTGCTCCGTAGGCATGCCACGAGTGGACACTTCACAATAGGCAATTTATCTGATGAATGTAGCCTCCTTTCTGATTTACAAAATATTCATGAGAAGATCACAATTTCCTCAAAATTATATACTATTTTGAAGTAACTACCCATATTTTGTGTTGAGTTTTAAAACTGGTTAGTTTTGATTGGTTGGGTAAGTCTGTTCCTGGATTGGGAGTGTATTTTCAGCACCCAGTCACACACAGGCAAATCTTAAATTCAGTTTCCACAAATATTTATGCATGAGGTCTTGAAAATTGCTTTACGTGAATATCTATGCCAGTAAAGTTTAATCAAATGAATGTCTGTGCAATGTGAACATAAAAAGGGATGTGAGCATGCCTGAATATAATTAATTAAAAAATGAGAGTAAATATTCACAGAAAACTTCTGGTAGTATTCACCCAGCACTACAGCCACCCAATGCTGGCATAAAATCAGAAAATAGTCTTTTACTTAATAGTTCCTTCATTTATTCCTGAAGGGTATTGTAGCTAACCTGTTTCACCAGGTAAATCTCAGATTGGAATTTCTGTTCCAGTCTAAAATGGACACTTTCTAATATTGCCCTAGGCTGCTTAGGTTATGAATTTTGTGGTGTGTTGGACTACTGTTTAGTGATAAGAAAAGAGCAGAGATTAGATATGTTTTGAACTGTGTATATATTCTCTTTCAGGTGGTTGAGAGAGAGAAAACCTTTAAAAGAATGTTTCAAAAATCTTTTCTGAATTGATATGTGGTGTATTTCTCTTTTTTACACAAGGTGACAGTGTATGTGAGATGTAAAGACGAGTTTGCTCAGGCAATTACCCCTTGTTGATAGCAGATTATTTCCTCTGGCAAACTCGAAAATAACTTGTTGGTGTATAAGTTACTGCTGTTCTGGGGATGCAGTAATTTACTCTCCTGTCTTTTTTATGAGCACATTTATTTTAATCAGTAGAGTTTGGAATGGCTCTTTTTCATCTAACTCCATCTCTTTTGGAGTTATACACCCTCTTACATGTAACAAAGGAGACTCCATTTGCACACACAGGAGAAAAGAAGTTTGATGTTTTGCAGAAGAGCATTCTTTATATAGGAAATCATATCCCATGCTCTTTTTCGTGTAAAGAATGTAGCTTTCATTTTCTACAGCAGTGGCCCAAATTATTTTTCTGAATAAGGCAATGTTTCACTTCAGTGAGTTACCAGACGTTATCACTCACAGTGGAGAATGGTGTCTTGGAAAAAAAGTGAACATATACACTAGGGCTGTGGGAAAAGCCACAGAGGGTGGAGGGTTTGTTTAAAAAGCTAAAAACCTTTAGAAGGTTTTAAAATAATGAAAGATGTTATGTGAAATATCCAGTACATGAGAGATTTTTGAAGAGGGATATTACCTAGAATGAAATGAAATGACACTTTTCTAACTAAATCGATTATTTTGCATCTTGCAGTATGAAAAAAATAAATTATACATAAAAAGAATCGCAGAATTATGCCCATCCACCCCCAGGTAGACAATACAATGGGCAATCAGGACTTGATTTCCCACCCTTACTCCACGAGCAGTTTCAATGAAATCTATTAGCATAGCAAGGTACTCTTCCACCTGCATGTGGCAGAACCTGTCCCTGAAATAAAAGGAAACATGCATCTTACAGTATTTCATGGAGTCTAGGTCAATATACAATTACAACATCATTGATAAAATATTAACACTAAAACTATCACAGAAACCAGTTAATACATTAATAATTGAAAACATTGGCAAACAACTATGTTTTCAGTTCCTGCATAAAAATTAAGAGGTATATAGCTTCTCAGTGCATGTAAATAGCTCACATTAAAATTAATGGGAGTTATTGTTATGTTCATGGCATACATACAGAGAAGTTAGATGAAAACATAAAATACTCTTGCAGTGTAATGCTACTTTATTTCTTGAAATCCAGCACATTAACACACAACAACCAAAAACAAAGAGAGATAAAGCAGACTGTTCCCTAAGGCAGAGAGGCACAGCTCAACCCACCTTGCTCTTGGCTGGCTCTTTGCAGACTGACTGCTGGGAACACAGATCCCCATCACCTGCAAGAAGGACCAAGAAACCCCTTAGGATTTAAAGGGAAAGCCTATAATTTTAACACAGTTTTCAATACATCACAATTATATGAACACTTAAGTTTCTCCCTATACTTAGAATAGGAAATGACAGTGTCATCACAAAAAGAACAGGAGTACTTGTGGCACCTTAGAGAGTAACAAATTTATTGGAGCATAAGCTTTCGTGGACTACAGCCCACTTCTTCGGATGTAGTCCATGAAAGCTTATGCTCTAATAAATTTGTTAGTCTCTAAGGTGCCACAAGTACTCCTGTTCTTTTTGCGGATACAGATTAACACGGCTGCTACTCTGAAAAGTGTCATCACAGGCATCGCTCTGAGGCAAATGAAAATGATAACTTTATTGGCCACCACTGTATGGCTGTAGGCCCTTTTCCCTTACTTTGCATGTATCTTATCTTTTCTTATGGTGTTTTGCTTAACGCCATCATCACTTTTACTTATATTCCTTTTCATCTTATTAAACAAAATTCGAGATATTGTCAGTGTAGTGTACCTAGTAATCCAATTGCAATGCAAGATTTGTGGCCAGATCGCAGTGAACCGTAGTGAACATGTACCCTGTCCTTAATCTGTTTTATTTGGATGTGTTACATTCATTTATTTTCCTGTGATGCATGGCATACTATTATGGTCCGTTTGTGATTCAATAGTCATATGCTGCACTTGGAGATATCGTTTGTTCTCATAATTTGTCTTTTCACTCTCCCCCTGCTGATACATGTCTTCCTGTATAGGTTTGTCCTGATTCAGGGGGGAAACTCTTCTGTGTTTCTGACTTTTCTATTTATATCCATTATTGGCTAGAAGAGAACTGGCTGCAACCTAGTCCCAGAAATACTCTTTGGTATTGGTTCTTAACAAACAGTTTTGGCTGCCAAATCATGATGGAAGACTTTGTTAACTCTTTGAGAGTCCTCAAGTATGGGAATCACAAAATGATTCTGCTGTAAGAGCAGTCAACCCAAAACTTGAACGGAACTGAATTTAACCATTGTGTGAGGTTCAAAAAAGTCAACTTTTAATGTATATTTTTCAGCTTTCTGTACATCAGCTTATGGTTCCAGCCAACTCTGCCAAGCAGAAGTGCCAGAATACCATAAGACAAAGAGTCCTCATATTTATGGCCTACTTCAAAACTAGGAAGTAACAGAAAGATCACATTGTCTTGACTACTGTTTCAAATTAAAGAAGTTTGAATAGTTTAGCTAAAGTCTGGGTAACTACCCACAGTTGCCTTCATTCTCTGATATTAATATTAGATCAAGAAAATCTGAAATAGTCAGATAAATCTTGCAAATACAGGGAAATTCATTCACTTACTGTCCATTAGTTTAAAAAAGAGAGTAAAAAATTAAGTAAAATCAAGCTAATTCTCCTGAATATTAATATTTGACATTTCAAGAGAGAATCAAGTCATTTCTGTGACAGATTTGGAGCTGCTCAGTACTATTTTATGAATACTGGATGTTGACCTGATTATTGGGATGGGTACTGTCTGACTTTTGAGGATTAATTGAATAGAGGGCTATCTGGAGAAACTGGGTGGAAAAGAGAGAATGGCTCAAGATAGCCATTTCTCCATGAACACTTAAGGGTTATTGAGGGACAATGCCAGGACTATTAAGATTGAAGATTTTGCCTCCTCTCCAACCAACCTACAACACTGATTTGCACCAGCACAGGAAAAGGCCAACAAGCACAGTAGAACAAAAGAACTATAACAGGGTTTAAAAATGGACTCTCTCAAGAAAGGGAGACTAGTTGTTTGGGGGAACCAGACTGAGACATAGGCAATAGCTGGAGTAACTGAAGAAGTTCGAGCTATCTAGGTCACCATCAGGGGATAAGACAAGACTTTAGGTGAGATAGACATGAGTTGTTTTAAACTCCCGTTTCTATGAAAGCTATGTTAGCACTGCTAAAATAAAGAATATTTTTGGTTTATGAAGGCTGCCCCATCACTATATCCACGACTAGTCACAGACTCCCAAAGAGAAGAACCGCAGGTGTTGAACTCAGTCGGACCTGGAAGGTAAGAACAGTTGATATACAGAATGCGATAGCCCCACGTGGTGTAAAAGTGGGAGAATTTTACCCCAAGATAGGTAAAGGCATGAGGACTGATATCTGTGGGGATACATTCAGAGAGACCGCAAAAAGGGACAGAAATGCAGCTAGCCCATGACAGTCCCCATGGCCTGAAATTGTTTCCCACCAAAATCAGAGATAAGAAAAGAATATTCAGAGGATAGAGTGAAAAAGCTGAAACCAAGAAACACCAAAAGCTAAAGAAAGAACATTGGACAGGGACTTTGTTCAGTGCTGAGGCATACAATGGGGTCTTGTTCCATAACTAGGGCTCCTAGGTGCTAAGGGAGAATTCTTTACAGCATAGTCACTTGGAGAATCAGTGTGAACAGTGAAATCTTCCAGAATGAAGGCACTGGAAAAATTTGCAGCAGTGCTATTTACTAGGCCTTGACACTTTTCTTCTAACTAACTGCTTCAACAGAGAGAGTAAGTACAACAGAAGAAGGCTGTAACTGTAAATTTGAAAAGAAATGAATAATGAAAAAATCCCTCAGGGTTATCCATGTATTTTTGCTTTTAAACTTCTCTCTTCATATCATACTGTAGGCCACATTCTCCCCCTTCTTGAATAAAACCACAAGGGAAGATGAGCACAGTCTCCCTGTACTTGTGTTGCTCTCAAAAAGCTGCTTGTCTGATGCATCACTCCCTTTGGACCAGCAGGCTGGTAGCTGTGAAGAATAGGAGGGGAGCATGGCTAGCGTTTCTTGCATCTCCTAGAGATTTCAAACTGTGTGTGTGTGTGTGATCTCTGTGCTCTGTGAGATGTCTTTGCCACCTGTCTCAACTCAATTGCAGCATGGGGCTGTCATAGGTACCAAGCTGGACCCCGATGTTGTGCTCACTTTGTCTCCTCTCTCTTCTTCCTATAACTCTCTAAAGTGTCTAGACTCCACAGAGAGGGAGTTACTGCTGATCAGAGCAGCACTAACTTTCAGTGGAAATTACATAATATGTTTGATACATTACCATGGGAACATAACACATTAACCAGCTGATTTCCACATCCCCTGCCTTAGCTCTGCAGGTCTGAGTTTTTACATAATGGCCACATAGAGCATATAGTTAGTTACATGGTAGGAGCAAATACTCTACAAAGCCATCTTTTTCCCCTTGACATGCCCAGTCATCTCCCTCAAACACAATAAGAGGCCTCTTGTAGTGTATAGGAATAAGGCAGTATCCTTGTAAATTGTTTAAAAACAACGAGGAGTCCTTGTGGCACCTTAGAGACTAACAAATTTATTTCGGCATAAGCTTTCATGGGCTAAAACCCATTTCATCAGATGCATGGAGTGGAAAATACAGGAGTAGGTATAAATACATGAAAAGATGTGAGTTGCCTTACCAAGTGTGAGGTCAGTCTAACAAGACAATTCAATTGACAGCAGGATACCAAGGGAGGAAAAATAACTTTTGAAATGGTAATGAGAGTGGCTCATTTCAAACAATTGACAAGAAGGTGTGAGTAACAGTAGAGGGAAATTAGTATTGGGGAAACTAGGTTTAGGTTTTGTAATGACCCAACCACTCCCAGTCTTTATTCAGGCCTAATCTGATGGTGTCCAGTTTGAAAATTAATTCCAGTTTTGCAGTTTCACATTGGAGTCTGTTTTTGAAGTTTTTTTGTTGAAGAATTGCCACTTTTAGATCTGTTATTCAGTGACCACTGAGATTGAAGTGTTCTCCTACTGGTTTTTGAATGTTATAATTCCTGATGTCAGATTTGTGTCCATTTATTCTTTTGCGTAGAGACTGTCCGGTTTGGCCATGTACATGGCAGAGGGGCATTGCTGGCACATGATGGCATATATCACATTGGTAGATGTGCAGGTGAACAAGCCCCTAATGGTGTGGCTGATGTGGTTAGGTCCTATGATGGTGTCCCTTGAATAGATAAGTAGACAGAGTTGGCACCAGGGTTTGTTGCAGGGTTTGGTTCCTGGGTTGGTGTTTTTGTTGTGTGGTGTGGAGTTGCTGGTGAGCATTTGTTTTAGGATGGGGGGCTGTCTGTAAGCAAAGATTGGCCTGTCTCCCAAGGTCTGTGAGAGTGAGGGATCGTCCTTCAGGATAGGTTGTAGATCTTTGATGATGCACTGGAGAGGATTTAGTTGGGGGCTGTAGGTGACGGCTAGTGGCATTCTGTTACTTTCTTTGTTGGGCCTGTCTTGTAGTAGGTGACTTCTGGGTACCCTTCTGGCTCTGTCAATCTGTTTCTTCACCAGATGGGTCCTGTAGTTTTAAGAATGCTTGATAGAGATCCTGTAGGTGTTTGTCTCTGTCTGAGGGATTGGAGCAAATGCAGTTGTATCTTAGAGCTTGGCTGTAGACAATGGATCGTGTGATGTGGTCTGGATGAAAGCTGGAGGCATGTAGCTAAGTATAGAGGTCAGTAGGTTTCTGGTATAGGGTGGTGTTTATGTGACCTTGTTGTTTTTGCTGATACAGACTAACACGTCTACCGCTCTTAAATTGTTTGTTAAGTGGCACTTGCTGTGTCTGTTTTTAAAAGCTGCCAAAAATTAGCCAGAGCAGCAATATGTATTTGGGACTAACTGTGGTGTGGTTTTGTCATATTGTTTTTGTTGTGTAAAAAGCAAAAGAGAACTTTTTGGTTCCTCTCCATGCTGTGTAAGGGAAGAGGAGACTATTACCCTGTTTTTTCCCCAGTAAAAGATTGAATGGATGCTAATTTGACTTCCCTAATGGCAATGCTAAAATACATACAATTAACGTATTTTAAAATAAAACCTAATGTATAATATGGGGATATGAAATTGTCTTAAATATGTATTTGTATGACATCTGCCTAAGGTCATATTCTGAGATGCCTTGTGCCAGTAAGGGAGGCCCAAAACATGTACAGTTTA